TATATACTGATTTCAATATAAAATCAAAAGGGCAGTTGGACATGAACAAAATGATATTGTAATTAAAAATCCTTAAAGAAGGGACAAATAAGATAATGTAAAAACGTTGGAGCAATAACAAAACATGATCTTCTTAAAAAAAAAAAACATTTGGTGAAATAAGTTCTACCAAATTATAAACTGTTATGTGCTTGGGCCTGCATTGGGGTACCAGTTAATTCTTTTTAATGACATAAACTTAGTGGCAAAGGTTTTTTACCAACCTTATATTGATGCAATATTAATAAGGCAAAACGACGTGCATTAAACTTCCAATGTTTATCTGATTAAGAACACCATACGATATTGAGTCTATAATGAACATTATAAAGCTGCGATATACATATGTATTTTTAAGATTATGCACATAATACCCAAGTTTACCCGATTGAACGGCGCATTAAGGCAAGTCGGGACAACTTGTATAAAATATATATTTCTGAACGACGTGTGTATGGATTGATAAAAAATAGTTTTTTAATATCTGGCACATATTTAATTTTGTCGAATTTTATATCAGTGGTCCACTAAAGATACCACACTTATTCTAGCGACAGGTTATTGTACATATACGGTCAAAATTATTAGAGAAGGACGTATGTTGTACTTGGTTTATATCGTTATATATGTTACTGTACCTTGTATATATTTAAAGTGGCAAGGGGTAACATATAGTCAGCCCCGTTCGACTTTGGTTTTAGTTTAAAAAAACGACCATATTTTGTTATTCATTAAAAAACCAGCGGTGCACTGTTGTCGGACGGTGCAGACCATTTGATATCCTATACAACTACCACTATACATAAATATTATGTGGATCAATATTTCGAGCCTGGCCGAGGTTTCACTATACTTGTACCCTCTAGTAGATAATTGAAATAATAACCAGTAAAGAAAGATCTAAAGTCGAATGGGCCGACTATATATTACACCCTTCACCACTTTGCATACATACAAGAGCTTCTCATATGACTGCCGATAGAAAGGATATTTGAACCAGTTTAAATCAACCCATACACATAGCATACCTTTATTTATAATTTTTGGTAGGGAGATTTGCTACCCAATAAGAACTCAAGGTACCAAATTTCACCGAATTCGGTCGACAAATGCGATCAAAACCCCCAAAATACCGAAAATTGGGGGTACCCTTATATAAGGGCTATCCGAAAAAAATGGACCTTTATTTATAATTTTTAGTAGGGAGATTTGCTACCCAATAAGAACTCAAAGTACCAAATTTCAGCGAATTCATTTAAAAAACGCGCTCAAGAACCTCAAAATACCGACAAATTGGGGGTACCCTTATATGGGAGCTATGCCCAAACGTGGACCGATTTTCTCCAATTTCAATAGGGTTCGTCCTTGAGCCAATTAAGTGATCTGTGCCAAATTTCATCCAAATCGGATCATAAATGCGACCTGTACTTTGTTAACAAAAATACATGGACGGACAGACGGACATGCATAAATCGACTAAGAAAGCGATTCTATGCATAATCTCGATTATTTTTGCCTGTTACAAACATATGCACAAAGACATAGGGGAGACTGGGGAACCTTCGGCACATTTTTTAGAGCTCTATATCTCAGTACTTATTCAACATATATAACAACTTTATGGCTGATTATTGTCCTCTGACACTTAGTTATAAAAAATAGTACCAAAAAGATATAAACAAATAGTATTAGTTAAAAAAATTTACAGTTTTTTAAAAAAAAGTCAAATTCGCCGAATGTGCCACAACCCGGGGTAGCTTCGGCATTTGATGGGGCACATTCGGCACCATAGTCATAGCCGGGTAATTGTCATCGCTATCAGTCTGTTTGAAAATCTGATCCTCTAAAGGCTCTATTTGGTTTTAATACGCCACACAATGTTTGAATTATAGGGCTTTATTTTCTAGCGGCGGACGTTTACATCTCAAGGCCACACACACCATCAGAAATAGGGGTTTTCTATCGCATTTCGTCAATATAAGCACGTTTGATCTTATATATGCAATTTCGAACCATATTAAAGGATTAGTTTTAAAAACAAACTCAAAAACATTTTACGGAAATAATATTGCACAATCTGTATATGGCCGAATGTGTCCCACTTTAAAATGCCGAATGTACCCCGAATGTACTTTTTATAGTTTTTTCATTTTTTTCGATCAGTCTTGTAAAAACATTATATTTTTAAATACTTCTATAATAGTACACATCGTAGTTAACCACTTTTTAATAATATTGTCTTAAAAATTTAAAAAGTTTTATACACGAAATACTTACGAAATGGAATTGAAATATTACAAAAATATCTATAAAAATACAAAAACACATGTATCTAAATAAGCTTATTAGCTAGAAATTTCAAACTTTGTGTCAGTTATTTATTTCGATATTCGATACCTATGTATCGAAACTAGTGATGAACGGTGAGAGCTTCATATCGAAAACGCGATTGCCGAAGGTGCCCCAGTCTCCCCTAATACCCTGTACCACAGTGTGGTGAAGGGTATAAAAAACAATATTGGTGTTATTCTTCTATTTTAGCTGAAATTATATAATGGACATATACAAAATAAAAACTTCTTGTGAACATGTTTACTCCTTGAGGGTTATAATAAGATCTTTCAAATATGAAATAAATATGAAATAATCTTAAACTAAAATATACACATTAAATTGGGTATATATGCGTAATCCACAAATGCGGTTTCCACTTAATGTATATTTTGCCAAATTTCGTTTGACGGCTAAGATGTAGTACACATTGCATGGAAGTGCCAAAAACTCGTAAAACGCGAACAATTTCCGAAAACTCCATATGCAATTAACCAGCATCCGATTTCGGTGTACACCCTTAAGGGAACCCCACCCATTCTCGATTTTAATTTTTCAAGATTTTCAATGGGCTGGTAAATCAATACCAATGCTTGTTAAGGTTTGTAACTTTGCACATATATATTTGAAGACTTAAAAGAGAAGAAAAATAATTTACAAAAAAATTGTTATTGTTTTGTTGTTGTTTTTTTGTAATTAAAGAAAAGTCCTTACTTTTGATGGCGGGCATGATAACTCCTCACTAGATCATCGGAATCCGAAAATTCCAACGGTGTTAGAAAGAGTACATGTCTGGCTCTCGTATGAACTAAGATTATTGACTTCGCTCTAAAATTAACTAAATTGCGGACCTTTGAAAAAATATTTTTGGAAAATCGCCGATTTTTAACCACAAACTAAGTTAAAAAGTAAGGAAGATATTCACCGATTGGCTTTATCCTAGTTCATACGATAGCTATACACTCACAGAGAAACTTGTAAAAATTTGGAATCGATTGGGTTATTAGTTTTTGAGTTATCGTGCCCGCCATTCGCAAAGAGAAAAACGTGTTTAAAGTTTGAGAAGCCCTTTAGCCGTCACTTGATGCTGACACAATAAATCGGCTATATCTTCAAGAGTTCTTGAGATTTTCACTGGAAATTTTGTAGGGAGATTCTTGATTTAGTGTTGATTCGAATTAAATCAAAAAAATTTTTGACCCCGAGGATGGGGGGTCCCCGTAAATAATATGTTTGTAACAGGCAAAAATAATCGAGATAGACCCATCGATTTATGCATGTCCGTGCATCCATGTATTTTTGTTAACAACGTACAGGTCGCTTTTATGATCCGATTTGGATGAAATTTGGCACAGTTCACTTAATTGACCCAAGGACGAAGCCTATTGAAAATGGAAAAAATCGGTTCAGATTTAGATATAGCTTCCATATATTTTCGTGCGATTTAAGGTAAATGAGGCACCAAAGTTCCTATATACCTTTCGATTTGCACGAAATTTGGCAAAGAGTACTGAATTAGTTGCAAAACGATTTGTGCCAAGTTTCAAGAAAATCGGTTCAGTTTTAGATATAGCTCCCATATATAGGTTCGTCCGATTTAAGGTAAATGGTGTACCAAAGTCACTATATATTTTTCGATTTGCACGAAATTTGGAAGAGCGTACTGAATTAGGTCTAGAATGATGTGTGTAGAGTTTCGTGAAAATTGGTTCAGATTTAGATATAGCTCCCATATATATTTTCGGCCGATTTAAGGTAACTCCTCATGCTTATGATATATTTATCAACGGGTGTCCGATTGATGTTTGCTTTAAATTGATTAGCATAATTTTGTTTCATTATATGAAGCAACTCTATATCTGGCCAAATGAAAAAGTTATTATAGGTGGCATTATGGCACGTTTAGGGATCTAATATGAATCCGAAATTCGAAAAACACTCAAAATCGAGCTTTTAAAATGTCAGCATCGTTTAAAGGTAAATGCAGACACATTTTCGAAAAACGAAACATAAGGGACTTACTCTTCATTTTGTAGGCTTCTACTTTTAATTTAGCACGAAGGCCTATGCCGAAAATTAAAGAGACAATTATATTTTTCATTATGTTTTTTTATTTATTTAAAAAACATCCTTCAGTGCATAAATTTCTCCGTTGCGGTATTAAAGAACATAAAGATCAGTATAGTATGCAGAATAGGACGGACAAGTGAGATTGATAGATGGTAGTGGCAGTGACTTAGAAGTGACTATGAAAAATTGTACACTAGATAAAGTATCACATAGAAAAGACAAGAGAGATAAATGAGAAATTATAAAAAGATGATAGAAACAGGTGTTGGTGAAATGGAAATTAAGAAGAAATTATTTTATGAGTTGGGTGTTTAAGGATTTACAAAATGATATCCTTTCGTTGTGATGACAACCTCATTTGAGGCAGTTTATGTTTTTCATTTAACCAAATTATCATTTGCAGATTCCATATTATTTTGGGATTTTAGCTAGTTTTTTCTTTTACTGGGGAATTTACAAAGTTCCGGGAGCAGGTTGCAAGTTAGCCTGGACAACAGATTGAGCATGACCGGGCAAGGGAGCAACATGTACAGCACCACGAGTCTTGGAAACTGAGACGGCACCTGGAGCAGCTACAGCAACAACAGCTGGAACATGAACTGGGCTGGTAACAACTTGGACTGGACTAGGTCCAACTACAAGGGGACCGGGATGACCGACAACAACGGCACCTGGTACTGGACCACCCACAACGACGGGTCCCCAAGGATATACTGAGGCGTTAGCACCCATAGCCAAAGCAAGGACGGCAGCAACAATGGAGAACTGTAACGATAAGAGAGAACATTAATTAGATATATTAAGCATAATATAAGAACCCTAGAGAAATTCAATCCATCTGAACCCATCAATTCTATAAAAAATTCTTATAATGTTCTACATCAGAGGTACCCTGACAGTCTGTCAGTATATATACATACAGTTCCCAAATAGATGAAAGAAATGATCCAAGACGTATATGTGAAGATCCTAGGAAGCATGGAAGTCGCAAAGATATAAATTCTCAGTTGGTATTTGAGGACATTGGTATTCTTTATTGAATTTCTGATGACAGCGATATTATGCGAAAGGAAATAACTGATGGACATAGTCGATAATAAAATTTGAGTTTGTCAAAGCACCCCTAAGCTATGAAATCATAAGATCAACTGCGAGAAGACAGTACTAGGCGGCTTTAGACCTCAAAATAGAACTCATTCACTAATTATTATTGTGGAAAGAAGGATATACAACACGATATAGTTAGCGTAACAGGTAACTGGTAGGTCTTATTTCCAAGGGGTGTAAAAATATGCCCAAAGCATAGCCTGGCTAAGCTTTCACACAAAATATCACAAGGAATTGTTCTAGAAACTTTAGCATCCAGCTTTATGTTGGACAGTCTCTTTACGGAATTGCTAGTTTCATCAATAGCAGAACGCGAAGTTGATTGCCTGCAGTATATCATTACATTGTCATTAATGAATGAAATATTAACAATCAATGTTGGAATTCAAACAGACTTTTGGAAAAACGTAGGCTCTGTTATTATCCTCCGTCACTGTGATCGTATTCGTATTATTTTTTATAACCTTGATTGTATTTAAACATGATTGTAATCCGAAAAATATTTAAGTTGATTTCCGATTCACATCTCTTTTTTTAATTCCTTAAAAATGTCCAAACAAAATCCATTGAGGATATAATTTTCTTAAATGTCAGTCTTTAGAACAATTTTTTTTCGTTTTTTTAACTGCTATAATATTTATAATATGTGGTATGCACTTTACTATCCGCTTACACAATCTCACCTTCATTTTGAATAATTTGTTATTCGTTTTGTGTGTTTTAACACGTTTAACGTTAGAATGACTTCTACTGATATCTCTCAGATTGTAACAACCTTTTATAGATCAAAGAAAAGAATAATTTCCCTACTTTAACATGAGTCTATGTGTTCTTTTTTTGTTTTTATATCTCTAACTCTTTTTTTATTTCTTGACTCTCTGACACTGTCATACAAATCTATATATGTCTATATTGTTGTTGTACATGTAACTATGTCTGCAATATATCAGTTAACGTCCATTAATATTTTTTTATAAAAAATCTATATTATAATTAAATTCTTCCACTCCGGATAATACATGTCCACATATTAAGCAATGTCAACGCTAGAGTAGGCGATAATGAGTGCAGTGTATTTTACAACAAACGTCAGGTGTGTGATATAATAATTATAATACAGTGGAACTCTTATTTTTATGTCGTAATGGTCGCGGTATTCCATTCATGACCCTGCACCATATTGTTTATAGTATTTGAGAGGGATTTTCGTTGTTTTTATATTGTAACACATAATATATGAAATGTTTAAAATCGGATGAAACAGAGTTTAACAAAATTTGTGTAAATATATTTTACAATTTACAGCCACTTTTGTTGGAAATACAAACGTTTTGTAGCAAACAGGTTTTCGACCCTAAGAAGCCTGAATAACACATAACAGCCACTTCGATGGATGAGAACCAAACAATATATTTTTCTCGCGTTATCCTACACCATCGTTAGCTATTGAATAGTTCAACGACTTTTAAGGATTTATAACGGAAATTCGTTCACAAATTGAGAGCTTTTCCGTTTTCATACTATTTTCTATAAAATTCATGCAAAGAACCATTACAAATAAATGTGATGAATAAATAAAAATTGAGTGTTTTAATTCTTAAACGTTATAGAATTTGAACCACCAGGATAAAAAAACACATCATAATAGTGTTTTACTATGCATGCACTATGCATTAACGTCTTAAAAAATATGCAATAACCCTGAACATACTGTAAATTGGATGATGACCGTAATATAGGGGCCGCACTAAAACGAGGACCAATGTTAATAATTTTTGGTAAACCCATAATATGAAAGTACAGCCGATTCGGTAAAAAAATGTTTTAACAATACTCAAAATACGAGGTACCGTTACATGAGAGCTACCGAAAAAAGTAGACCAATATTGACCATTTTTGGTAAGGAGATTCTCCGCCCAATAAAATCCCAAACAAAAATTACAGCAAAATTGCTTAAAAGACTTGTCCATAATTTCCAACATACTGAATTTTTTATTGTATCGTTTTTTGGGGGCTACACTGAAAAGTGGTTCAATATTGATAATTTTTGATACAGACATTTAATACCTAATGAGAACCCAAAATATCAAATAACAGCCAATTCGGTTCAAAACGTGTTCAAAATTGAGAAAATTTGGAGGTACCGTTATATGGGAGATATGCCTACACGCAGTGCTGCCAGTTAAATTTCATGAAAAATCGTCAATTTTTCAGAAAAAAATCGGAATAATCGGCATTTGTATTTTTAAAAATCGTCAAAAAATCGGCAGCATATAATTTATAAATAAATTCATATTTTTTTGGTTTATAACAAATCAATATTGTTTATTACATTAAAAAAAGATAACAAATTCAATTCTTTATAAAAAAATAGCATAAAAGATTCACTTTTCTACCAAAAATTTAGATTTTTCTAAAATATAGTCATTATTATGTACACTGGTGAGATCTTTCAGATTTACTATTTTTATTAACCATTTTTAGTAATTCATTATCAATTTTGATATTAAAACAATTTGAATTATTTAGTTTGAGGTAATCTTTAGAATAAAGAATCCCTTCCAATGAATCATTCTCAAGTGAGCTTCTAATTTTAGTTTTGTTAAGGTTTACCGGACTAAAAATTCGTTCCACATTTGCTGTGGAGTGTGGAAGAACCATAATTCTTTGTACAAATTTAGACAAAACAAGAAAAGCTAAATTGGAGTCCCCACGTTTAATTTCGGAAATTTTTTTTCCAAAAATTTTTTAAATTATATTCTGCATTTTCAAAAATTTCTTCAAAATTCAGAAAGTTTAACTCCCTAAACTCGGAGTCTAAAGATTGCCTCTGTGTTTCAAAAATAAAATCGGTGAATTCTTTTAAAATATCTAGAAAAGAATTATTGCCCTTCTTCATTACTCTTCCAGGATCAATAAGTTTTAAGCATTTATATTAATTTAAATTAAAATCAAAACGTTTTAATATTTGGTTTACAAGTTCTATATGAAAATTAATGCAAGTGCTAACTATTTTGTCTATGTCATTTTTGGGAAGTTTTGTTTCTGAAACAATATCTTTTGCATATAAACCCAAATATACTTCATCATATTCTAAATAATTGTTCGTGTCCATGATGTAAAGTGTAAACTAGATAGAACTAGACAGAGTACAATGCTGACAAAAAATGCAGATATCTAAGCCATTGAAAACGGCTGCGGCGAGTCGCCGATAGTTCTAATGATTTAAAGCTGCCAATTTTATATGTTTGTATGGTAACGCCGTATTAAATTAAAAAATTTGACAATTTGTGTCGATTGTTGAAATGTCGGCAATTCTGAGGCAAAAATCGGAAAATCTGCATTTTCCATTTTTAGAGTGAAAATCGTCAAAATGCCGATAAATCGGCAAATATGGCAGCCCTGCCTACACGTCGACTGATATAGCTCTGGCACTTCTGTGCAAATTTTTGGACAGCTAGCTAAGTTTCTGCAGATGCTAGAGTGATAACAACAGATTGATGGACTTGGCTAGATCGTCTTAGAATTTTACACTGATCAAGAATATATATACTTCATGGGGTCAGAAACGATTATTTCGAAAAAACAAACATACAACGATGGAGGGTGTAAAAATGGGTAAAAATAAGCCAACATTTTTTTTCTTTTGCTAATTTATGACTAAAATACACCATTTACAGTCTTGTGCTCAAGGACTGAATTGAAGAACACCATATTGGCAATATAGTTCTAATGTATGATTTTTCGATATTTCCACCGCATTCAACTAAGCCGGATGCTGACATTTTGAAGCCGACATTTCTCTGTTCTCGGACGAGCTAGTTGGAGCCCTAAACTTATTATAGGATCGTAGGACTCGTGATTTCACTTCGATTGATGTATATCTCAAGAACATTTTTATAAAAAACCTATTTGGGTTGAACCCCGCGTGATTTAGTTTTTTTACGTGCGGATATACTGAGACCTGCCGTGTTCAAATCCGCCCAATAAAACTGCGGTCACAAATACGTTGAAAATATAAACATCTGCAAATACCGATAGGATTAGTAAAAATATTGAGTTGTGCAATGTTTGGATGAAATTGGCAATTGCGTTCGCTTCATATGAGATTTACATGTTTCGAAAATATTGACCCTTTGTAGGGGAGATACTATAAGGAGTGGACTAATGAGTCCCATCTTCCAACATTATACAGGTTTCGATAAAATATTAGGTTTTGCAGAGTTCAGTTGAAAACGGATAGTCAGTTCGCATTATATTATAAAATTAATTTTCATCAAAATGTTGACCATTTCGTGGGGTAGCTTGATTTAAGTTTGGAAAAAATTTTACAATGTGCAAAGTTTGAAGGAAATCGGTTACTCCCTTCGAGAGTTATCGTGCACATCAGCCAGCCTTCGAAATTCCATAGCAGTTGCACTAAACAAATAAGTAATTTTGCAAAAATGCATGTAATTTTTTCTTAATGATATAATGATACGAAAAATCCTATAACTGTATAAAAATTAAAAAATTGGTCCTCATTTCTTTTACAATTTTGGAGCACCGATTATTTTTCAAAATGTTGATGCACCAATAGACAAGACACAAGGATGATATATCATATGTCCATCTTGAATTACCAATTGACTACATTGTCAATGATCCAGTTCTTTGCA